ATGGCGGGCGACAAGTTGACACTGGCAGGGGCGACTGCAGCCGCCTCGGACTCGGGCTTTCACAAGAGCCTTAGTTGTCCCTTGCTCTCTTGAATCCCTTTGGGGGCCCTGACATCCTTCTGCTCCTTGTCCTTCTTCCCCTTCTTGGGAGCCATGGCTTCGCTGAGGTGCCACAAGGCGTTGCGCGTCCGGCCACCGCTTAGGGGTTGTTGGGAGGCAACTCCGTGCTTAACGGGGCGCTGTAGCTGTTGGGCTCCGAGGCATTCAGCCCCTTGACGGCTCCATGGTGAGCTTCGTCGCACTCTGCAAAGTACGGGCCGCATGAAACAGCGAGTCTCTCGTCTCTCACGTGCTGTCTGCGTGGAACCTGTGATACCGTGTGATGCTCGCATGCCAGCTAGAAGCCAAAGGAGGCATCGGACAGGCCGCATTCAAAAGTCGAAACTCAAGCAACTAAAGCTTCTGGCAAAGGTGCCGAATTTGCAGACTGCCTGGATCCCCACTCGCTGCAGCACACGCTGTACCATGGAGTGTCTGCGATAGATGGCCAAACTCGGCCACAAGCGGCCTCACTGCCCTCCCCGGCCCACGGTTTTTTTGGCTCAGGCTCCATCTCAGACTGGAAAGTCGGGGACGTGCGCGTGTTGTAGAGGCTGTCTCCTGCGTCCGACGGAAAGAGCCTCCCAGGCATCGATTCCTAAACCGGGGGATGCGCTGCCGCTCGCCATTCGAAGCTCATCTGCGTACACAACCGGATCTGCAAAGCAAGGGCCAAACCCACCCACCCAAAGAATCCCGTCCAAGTCAAAGAAGCTTTCATAATCATTAAACTTCAAACGTGAGTGTGACAAGCGTTAACACTTGCTCCCCACAAACTGCACATCTATCAACACTAGTCACTAGCTGCATGCCGATGTCATGAGCAAACACCAGCAATCTGAAGCAAGACACCGAATAGTTAATGCATGGCAACAGAACTCTAACTCCGTGAGACAAGTGCGCACTTACCGAAGCTCATTACATCTATAAGGATATCGCAGGCAAATATCTCCTAAAGTCAAGCAAAGGATGCCGTAACAGATCGGCTCGAAAACTTACATGGAACTGATCTAAGATGCCGTAACAGAACGGCTCCTGAGCTTGAAGTCTCCCCGGAGGATGCTGCAACAGATCGGATCCTGAAGTGCACCAAACCTTTCAGCCGATCTGCTAGGACATTCTGTGGCTTCTTTTAAGAGCGATCTGATACAGCGTCCTGTGGAAGACTTAAGATTGGGAAGCCGATCTGTTACAGCAGCCTGAGGGTCATTAGCCGATCCTGTGCCAGGATTGATGTTCACCGATGTTCTTTAATTCCGACACTATTTGTCCCAGACTTCGAGAAATATCTACCTTGATTGTTTCGCCTTATTGTGCGCAAATTTTCCCACCGAGTTTCGCCTCATTCCGCGAAGGGCAGTAGGGCATTCGGGTCGTAATATGTATGTGTTGGTGTGCATGTGCATATCTATGCACATGATGGAGGCAGGGAAGCTTGGGGTTTGTTGCACTAGAAACTTTACGTAACAGTACCGGAAGGTTTTTCTCAGTGCGGTGTCAGACCTTCTGGAGTTCCGCAAGGTCCAAGATTCAATTGCATAGTCTCGGGATCAGGCTCAGTCGTCCGAGACTGGGGTCCTCAGCTATGCCTTTCAAGAACTCAGGGAGCCGTCGGGATGTCTCCCTTCAGCCCGTAAGGTGCATGGGATTGACGTGGTAGGCCAAGGGACTCCCCCTTTTCTGCATTGTTCCTTATCGGATCTCTGGTTTAGGGTTTAGGGTACACTCTCTCCCCAAGTAATTTTGGACCCCATGGAATGTGAAAGGTGACACGGCCTCGACAGCACGTAGATAACGTAGTCTGTGAACCGGCACCTCGGATCGACACGGACCTACAAGTCCTGGCACCCGTCCCATAAATTTCAGGGTCCCCCTGTTCCCCCTGTTGAGGGTTGTGTAACAGTAAAATTACAGGTGCTAAGAACCCCAAACTCCTACATTCCCTGAACCGGAAACGAAAATCTTCGATTCCTGCAAATAGGTCACCTGCGGAAGACATGCCCTGCGAGCCGAGCCCGCCTTTGGAACTGATAGGGGTAATCACCTTGAGCTGTGCTAACAACCTCCAAAAGAACACAATCCAGGAAGGATCGGGGTAAACGCTGCAGGGCTTTCCCCATTGCCAGATCCAAACCCGGCGACGCAGTGAGAAGCTTCCTGGAATCCTATGCATTCATGGGCAAAGCCTCAACACGACAGTGCGTGTGGCCAGAAACGGCCATCCTCCAAGTGCTGCGGCACCGGCATGTCCAGGGCTACATCGGGCACTTAGGTCCTACACGTGTATGCTGACCAGTGCTTCTCAAAGGCAAATTAGACATCAGTGCAGGATGGAACCGTCTAGCAGGTTACTGCAATGCGGCATTGGTTGAGAGCTCAGATTGGCTGCTGCGTTTCAGAATTTGGGATCCTGGCATGCTGCTGCTAGACTTAAAATTGTTGGGGTTTCGGCCTGAAGGGTGCGAAAGATGCAGGAAATCGGAGCTTGGGTCCTGTCCTAAATCCCCTACCACTGGCTACTTTTGCCCTATGGGTCTTCGAGCAGACGTGCAGAGTTCAGGCTTATGATATAAAGCTCAAGATTTTGAGTTAAGATCTAATGCAGTCTATAGTTAATTTCGGGGGCTTGCAAAGGTTCGACTCCTAAAGGCTCAAAGGACTCAAAAAACTTGAGCCATTTTGCCCTCAACATTTGGGCCACAGTAGCTAGAATTTGGTTTTGGTACACAACGTAGTGTACACATCTTGGGACCATGAGAGAATCATACTTCCAGTTGTCTAAACCTTCCTGTAGTACCGTTAATCGCAGCTGGCAAGAATGTTTTTGTTGTCGGTTTAAGGCTTAGGAATCGCAACCCCTAAGCGCTGAAATCTAAACGACAAAACCATAAACCGGAATCCTAGGTTTTCGAATAGCCTCTACAAGAGGGATACCTTTTCCTAATCTTCTGTTTGAACAAGGAAACCCCAAATTAAAAGGCAAAAGGGTACTACTCACGAAGCTATATCGATCCTAAAACTCCTACACACCGACACCCGAAGCTCTAAAAGCCCGAGACTCTGAGCTGGCTGCAAATATCTGCCTTATCCATGTAACTCTAGACTTGTTTTTGGCTCTCTTTCTCTCTGTCTCTGCAAATTCTAGCGAAAATGCGAAACCCGTAGTAGAAGGGCCTGATTCTTTTGGTATAAGCTGTTGCGGTGAAATATGTATTACAATACATGCAGGAGCCTGAAGAAACTCTTCTCTAATTATTCGGGCTTCTATACTCAGCCCTAAATCTCGGGCTGCAAAGAATCCTTTCTGGCTTGGAGTGCTTATCCCAAACACCACCCCGAGAAGGCTGCTGCAAGCCTTGGGATCCCGGCGGGGGGCGGAGCAGCGGCCAGCAGAGGGTCTGGGATTTTGGAGTGGTGCGGATCGGATCGCGGAAACCCTCGACCCAAACCCACAGAGCCCAATACCCGCTACGTAAGGAACAAAGCAAAAAGCACAATATGAAGCCCATTAAAATTTCAGGGGTATCAGGGCTCTCTGGTTTGGGGGTATAGAAGACCCTCCACAGAGGCCTACAATCCACTTTGGTTCGACGGCGAGAATCTTGATAATAAGAATAGGGTTTTGGGGTAATTATAACGAGGAACCCCCACAAATTTGTCCTGGTAATTATTCAGGCCCCTTTTGTAAAACGCCCTCGACACCTTGACAATCGGCCGCAACAACCAACAAGGCCAGCCAAAACTCCAGAGGTCTTTGAAAAAGCGGCCCCCATCAATAGTGTAAGCGGGGATCGAACGAAACAATATGGAACCCCAAGCATTTTCGAGTGCCTCTCCATCCACCATGTGATTGAAGAGCACGAACGCCTCAGAACAGTAAGCAGGGGTATGCAGCAGTCGCAAGCAGGGGTATCCAACAACGCCACCCCCTGAAATGGTTGGGTGCGGCTGCTCCTCCTCCTGCTTCCACTGCTGCTTCTACCACTGATCTTGTACTGACACCATCACGACGATCACTAGCTGCTGCGGCGGCATTATTATCTCAGCTGCATGATGACGACGATGTTGTTGTTGTTATTGATTAACCTAGTGATGACGAGGAGTGAGAGCCAGATGACAATGGTGGTGATGACCATGACTGGTACTGACTCATAATGATGGATGATGTTGTCGATCGCGATTATGCTGCTCATCATCATGATTATCATTGGAATCATTGCATTTGATGGGATTGTGGAGGATGCTGATGACCACCGCCTGTTGGTAGGCGACAGAAAACAAAACCCAGAGTTGATGTGGGTGCACTGAACCAGCTTACCACCGGAGCAGCTTTTTGCATGAATGATGGAAACCGCGCTTCCTCCTCCAAGCCTGCACTACAGATGCAAGCCGGCAAATCCTGAGCCTGCGGCACTGAACCCTGGACGTGACATGGCAAATTTTCAGCTTCGGACTGCAAACTGGCACATGGACGCGCTTGCCACAGGGCCTCCCAACCTGAGACTTACACGGCCTATGGCATATTGGGGTGCCGGTGATGACCATGACTGGCACAGACTCATGATGATGGGTGATGTTGTCGATCGCGATTATGCTGCTCATCACCCATCACCACCATCATCAACAACATGATTGGTTATGCATGATGGCCTTCGCAATCATAACGGTTATCATGAATATCATTGAAATCATTGTTTGTGTTGGGATTGTGGAGGATGCTGATGATCACCGCCTGTTGGTGGGCGACAGAAAACAAAACCCAGAGTTGATGTGGGTGCACTGAACCAGCTTACCACCGGAGCAGCTTTTTGCATGCCTGATGGAAATCGCGCTTCCTCCTCCAAGCCTGAACTACAGATGCAAGCCGGCAAATCTTTAGCCTGCGGCACTGAGCCCTCGACGTGACATGGCAAATTTTCAGCTTCGGACTGCAAACTGGTGCATGGACGCGCTTGCCACTGGGCCTCCCAAGCTGAGACTTACACGGCCTATGCAATATTGGGCGTGCACTCTTACACTTGCTCTTGCTACTCTTGTTTGCTTCTGTTACTGCTGTACTATGTTCCCCAGCATCGTAGGGAATGACCAATCGTAGGGCCCCTAGGGCCCCCTGACTCGTGGGTTGTTTGTTTACGGGGTTTCATGTTCATCGCTTCTGATATAAGAAGCCACCTACCATTTGGGGTTTGCTGTTGCTTAGCCGGGGTTGTTCCGAAGGCCTGACTAAGCCCCTGTCAGGAGGCGGTAGTCGTAGGAGTCTGGACCTGCGACTTTCAGGAGCGAAATCCTGAACCTCAAACCGTCACTCCTACATTCTCCTGCATGTTCAGCTCTATAGGAACGACGGCCCACAATAATCCCAGAGCATCCCAGAGCCAACAAGGCCTCAAAGCTCAAGCTCCGCTTGCGGCAAGAAGCTGACGCGTTCTTCCGTCTTGCGCCGAGCGGTACAGGCGAACTGCCTCGCAGCGAAAACGCGGAAGGCCCTTTCAAGGGTCCATAATTATAAAGGGATCCACAAGGGTACTATACGGGTAGTTCTCTAAATCAGGGTCTACACAAGCCTCCGCCCTAAATCGTTACGAGACAAGGAAGCTAGTGTTCAGGCCACTTCCCAAACAGCAGCTTAGTCTTCATGTTGCAGCTGGTCATAATCGAGCTGTACGCATCTGCCGTGTGGATCTTGGCTATCGGATTTAGGTGTTCGGCTTTATATGTTGCTGTCCCCACCATCTGACAAACTTGCGCCGAAAATCCCAAAGCCTCAAGCATGGCAAGCACTAATGGAAAGGCTTCTGATGCCCTATCCCTGAATTCAGGCCTCCAGGACCTCAACTTTTCTTCTGTGCTACTACTCAAATATTGAAATAGTTGCACCCACCAAGGCATCCCCCAGCCCGACATCGCTCAAGCAGCAGGGTGTGCAACATGTCCGCCTCCTCGATTTCGCCGATGCCATAAAGGTACACCTCGGGAAGAATGTGGGCGGCCCCATTGAGCATGCAGTGAAACATTCACACAAGGCTAACCGCGATTACATGCGGCAGGCAGCGCAAGACAAAGTTCCAACTGATGCAAGAGCTGGTCGTTAGGACCCCTGCACTCCTGTTCTTCCCGGAGTTTGGGCACATTGTCATTCCCCAACCTAACTGTGAACGCAGGTCTGAGCCCTACCGGGATTCTGGCCGCCAACGTGTTTGCAAGGGACACGGTGTTCAGGTGCTGCGGGCCGTACACCTGTGTGGAGCCTCCGAGTTTGTCAGCACGCGCGGCTTCTGAAAACCGACAGGTCTGAAAACTGCTCAGCGCACGTGGCTGAGTATGGTATCCCTGGTTTTGAGAAGCACTACCCGCGGGCTATGTTTCGGCTTTGGGTCCAACTGTCCACGCCAATCATACACCTGGCTTGGGGCACTTGGGTGCAAGTCACACGCAAAACAACGCAACTAGACCTTCCCTGTCCGCAGTTTAGGACAGGGTCCGGATATGGATTGAGGTCTGATGCCTCCTAGAGGGCAAGACAAGGCTTGAGACCAGAGGACCACGGGCCGTGGGACCAGAGGACCAGAAGACAGGATGGCAGGGAAGTTACGGCAAAAACCGGACCTATGTACACCGTAGACTCAAGCAACATAAACACATCTAGCCTCCCTGGCCCGCCACGGCCAGGCGAGAAACGACTTCAATCAGCCGCTCCATCCTTAGCACACTATCACTCAAGCACTCCAGGTAACGACCACCGAATGCAACTGCACACCCTGAACCGGCAATCCTAAAAATCAAGGCCTAGCTGTACATTTCGACGAACTAAACCTGGTAAGTTCTAGTCTCGCCGCCAGGATTCTAAGCAATGTCGAAACAAATGCTCGTGTACGCACACACGGTTCCAGGAACAAGGTTTGCAATATTGAATCTTGACATCGGGCTTTCCAAACTGTATAGGCTGTGGCGAAAAGCCTTATTTGCTTTGAAACGTTTCGGGAAGTTTTGGCATCGAGGTCCCAAATGCTGCAACGATATTGAACAAAAACTGTTCTAAAGTGTGGAACCGCTTGTGCTGATAACGAGGTCGCTGATTTTTTCCGGAATGTTACAATTTCCGTAACTCTTCGCATGCCCAAGGAAAACCTACAGGCGAAGCGTGTCTTGTAACAATGACAACCCCACTAATGTCACAAGGGATGCACTCACCAAAACCCTAATTGAAACTGGTTGGATTCTTCAGATTCCCAGCCGGCCCCCACAAAGAACACTCCCTAGTTTGCTGAAACCACCATCCAAGCTGAGGTTGATTCTTCTCGTCGTTCCGCACTGCCTTCGCGTTGGGAGCTCCGGGTAAGGAGTCCTAGAGATCCCCCTTCATGCCCAACCAAACGTCCAGCCCAACGCCCACCTCGCAAAACAACAGGACAAGATAATCACAAGCCCAAGTCAAGCCTTACTCCATGAACCCATGCTTAAGTCGACACCACTAACTCAGGGTTGAGGGTTTCACTTAAGTTTGGCAAGGGTTTTGTTGGGCTTTAGGGGTGTGCAGTGGCTTTTGATCGCTGGTCTACTGGTTTTACGGAGGCTTCATGATTTAGGTCGGGAAAAGGCTTTAGAGGTACCCGACGGGAGAGCAATGTATAGGGGCCTCATGGTTGAAATAGTCGAATGTAGGCTTGGTGGGGAACCCTACGTGCTTCGCTCCAAAACCGAAAGCCCGACGCACAAGGTCTAAGGCAGTGTCATTTGCTGAAAAAAAGTGTCCGCAGTGTCATTTGCTGAAAAAAAGGGTCACGGCGAAGCATGCCCGGCACTAAAGTTTCGCGAGGGCTGATTCTGGAATCATGGCTGATCCTCGCAACCAAGCCAGGACATGTGGCTTTAAGGTCGGGGTGAGGCAGTGTCATTTGCTGAAAAAAAGGGTTACGGCGAGGCATGCCCGGCACTAAAGTTTCGTCGCATCCGTTAGCAACATTGAACGGAGTACGCGGAGTCCGGGCTGTGAGGAATACCCTAGCCTGGCGCTAGCCTGGCTAGCGGAGGAATTATCACCCGGGAATGAAATTATAGTACTATAATTGTTCCCGGCGGAGGACTTCTGGAGGAGTCTACGGGGAAAAGGGGTCTTGAACACACATGTTGTAAGTCGACAACATAGAGTGCGACGAACTTTCGGACCGGCGCACCGTCATTTCGGGGGGCCAGAATCCAGAGCAATAGTCACAAGGCGTTTGTCGCAGTGGATGTCGTTATCTTTCCACAAGGCTGGACTGCAAGCCCCGAATTGCCCGCTACCGCATGACGAAAGTTCGTCACACAACATGAAGTTGAGAGATCACCACACGTTCACCCCTTTTCCCCGTAGAATCCTGGCACAACCCCGCAAAGCTCTCCGCCGGAAACTATATAATAGTATACATTTATTCCCGGAAAGTAATTACTCCGCCACGCTGGCCACGTAAAATGGGTCTTGGGGCTCTCCGCCTCTCCGCGAGTGATTCTGGACTCATGGCTGATCCTCGCAATCAAGCCAGGACATGTGGCTTTAAGGTCGGGGGGAGGCAGTGTCATTTGCTGAAAAAAAGTGTCACGGCGAGGGCTGATTCTGGAATCATGGCTGATCCTCGCAACCAAGCCAGGACATGTGGCTTTAAGGTCGGGGTGAGGCAGTGTCATTTGCTGAAAAAAAGGGTCACGGCGAGGCATGCCCGGCACTAAAGTTTCGTCGCATCCGTTAGCAACATTGAACGGAGAACGCGGAGTCCGGGCTGTGAGGAATACCCTAGCCTGGCTAGCGGAAGAATTTTCACCCGGGAATGAAATTATAGTACTATAGTTGTTCCCGGCGGAGGACTTCTGGAGGAGTCTACGGGGAAAAGGGGTCTTGAACACACATGTTGTAAGTCGACAACATAGAGTGCGACGAACTTTCGGACCGGCGCACCGTCATTTCGGGGGGCCAGAATCCAGAGCAATAGTCACAAGGCGTTTGTCGCAGTGGATGTCGTTATCTTTCCACAAGGCTGGACTGCAAGCCCCGAATTGCCCGCTACCGCATGACGAAAGTTCGTCACACAACATGAAGTTGAGAGATCACCACACGTTCACCCCTTTTCCCCGTAGAATCCTGGCACAACCCCGCAAAGCTCTCCGCCGGAAACTATATAATAGTATACATTTATTCCCGGAAAGTAATTACTCCGCCACGCTGGCCACGTAAAATGGGTCTTGGGGCTCTCCGCCTCTCCGCGAGTGATTCTGGACTCATGGCTGATCCTCGCAATCAAGCCAGGACATGTGGCTTTAAGGTCGGGGTGAGGCAGTGTCATTTGCTGAAAAAAAAAAGTGTCACGGCGAGGGCTGATTCTGGAATCATGGCTGATCCTCGCAACCAAGCCAGGACATGTGGCTTTAAGGTCGGGGTGAGGCAGTGTCATTTGCTGAAAAAAAGGGTCACGGCGAGGCATGCCCAGCACTAAAGTTTCGTCGCATCCGTTAGCAACATTGAACGGAGAACGCGGGAGTCCGGGCTGTGAGGAATACCCTAGCCTGGCTAGCGGAAGAATTTTCACCCGGGAATGAAATTATAGTACTATAGTTGTTCCCGGCGTAGGACTTCTGGAGGAGTCTACGGGGAAAAGGGGTCTTGAACACACATGTTGTAAGTCGACAACATAGAGTGCGACGAACTTTCGGACCGGCGCACCGTCATTTCGGGGGGCCAGAATCCAGAGCAATAGTCACAAGGCGCTTGTCGCAGTGGATGTCGTTATCTTTCCACAAGGCTGGACTGCAAGCCCCGAATTGCCCGCTACCGCATGACGAAAGTTCGTCACACAACATGAAGTT